GTGGAGCTGAGGGATGAGAGCCGAACGAGTATTTTATTTTGTCAATTGGACTGTGCAAATGGAAATGTCAGAGCGGCTGGAAAACTAATGAATCTGATAGGAGAGATGCCACCTCTCCCACCGAATGGCTGATCAATTGCCATTGTCTTTCCCGAGCGCCGATGTTTTTAGTTATTTTTTGATTGTTTTCCCCATCTGGCCCGGCTGTCTGTGGTTAGGGGTTTGATGGTGAACTTTGAGTTGAGGAAATAAAGGAATCGATCGGAGAACGGGAATCAATAGTTTCATCTGTTACTTACAAGACCCGGCTGAGAGAGGGAGAAAAATTACATTTAGATTTAAGACCTACCATTTCTTAAAGGGATGCATATTGCCCGCCATTTTTCAGGCCCAAAGGCTCTGGAACTATCGTCTCGTGATGAGAGGGGATGGAGTATTTACTGTTTTGGTCAAATCTAATGTTGAGTAGAGAGATCTTATAATATGTATCGCTCAGGGATTGCATTGGGGATGACCACAATGAAACCAAAGCATCTGTAAAACTGACCAAATTAGACATTTGTGTTAGTTGAGATCAGTTAACCATGGAAGCCATCTTGTTCAAGGTTATCTTTAAATGTTGAGCTGCAGATGTACATCTGGTAATTTCTTTGAGTTTCACTTAAATCTGTCCAGTGGTTCATTATAAATTTAGCTAAAGGTCTGTGTCGATTTTATTAGCTGAAACCAGAGTTTTAAGAAAATATATTTCACTACCAGTAGCACTCGAAGTATGTGTTGAGGATGACTCATAAACTGCCACACCAAGTTTTAACTCAGTATCTGTAAAATTGTTTGATGTAAAATCATTTTTATTAGCTGATCTGGACATCTTGTATTGGTTTGACCCCAACCGTTTCAGGTGTAGATAGAGGCCAATTGATTACTTTCTGTAAGTTGTTATTTTTTACCTATCTAGTATATCATGAGATATTTTCCTAACAGGCAGAAAAACTTGACTCCAGTAGTTATTGGGGAAAGTTTACAACAATTGATCTTGTATGATCAGTTAGTGCTTGCAGTATTTGTTGGAATGAACCACTGCTGCTATCTATTGGGAGAGGAGTGAAGGAAGCCATCTTTGTGAAGAGAATTCACCGTTTACGTATATCCATGTAAACATAGCTTGAGACGGGTGGTTTATGCCAATTCATAATCCGAACGGTGCGCATGTAAACACTTAATCAGTTCTTTTGTTTTTCTAATTGTGGAAAACTGACCGGACTGCGCGTGTGCGACCTATGTCTACCTCACGTATTTACGCCTGGCTAGATGTTAATATGTCGGGGAAGCAAAACTGGTCGATGAGCGACACAACATTTCTGTTTGAAACTTTGAAAGAGCTCAACATGATCTGTATTACCTGTAGCTCAATCAGGGAGTGCAGTAACATCTCCACCTTGGTTAAAACCTGTCGCGGGTCCATTATGGGAGCTCTGGTTTGATTACATTCATCCCAGAAGTAGAACTTTTTCTTCAGTGGTTTTTTAAGGAAAGTTTACCACTTTGCGCATGTCAGTACTTCTGTTCTGAATAAAAGCCCACTGCATGTAAACGCTCGTCATGATCGAATTGTGCCCATGTAAATGATGCATTTGAATTACTTAATCTGAAAACATTTCAATCTGGTCAAAGAATTTTGTGCGTGTAAACATAGCTATTGCTTGTATCACTCAGCCCTCTGTGAAAAGCAAGTGGCCATCAGGGTGTTAACAATCGGTCATTAGGCTGACGGTCCTCCTCCATCATGTGAACAACTAGTTTTGTCTGTCTCCAGCAAACACTATGAGTAGGGGCTATTTATAAATGTATAAATAAGGTGCTATGTGTTATCATTGTATGTTCCAATACAAATACGAAATTAGTTCTCTGCATTTAACCCATCACACCTGGGATACACCCAGGTAGAGCAGTGGGCAGCTATGTAAGCACCCGATTCGGGATAAGACTGAGTTTAGTGCAGCTCTTCAGACTGAGTCTTTTGGATAAAAGACGAAACGTTTCAACTTTTTTTTTTTAAATCTGTCCAGAGGAATCTGCAATCTGAGACCATGGTCCTCTACCAGAAATGGGTGGATTGCTCTCTTCAGTTCGAGGGTGAGGTTCTGCCTCAAGTGGAGGAGTTCAAGTATCTTGGGGTTTTGTTCGTGAGGTAGGGTGAGAAGTTCAGTTATCCGGGATAAACTCGGAGTAGAACCACTGCTCCTCCACATCAAGAGGAGCCAGTGAGGTGGTTCGGGCATCTGGTAAGGATACTTCCCGGACACCTCCATAATGATGTGCTTCGGGTATGTCTGACTGGGAGAAGACCCCAGGGAAGATCCAGGACACACTGGAGAGTCTACATCTCTCGGTTGGCCTGGGAACGCCTTGGAATCCTCCCAGACGAGCTGGAAGAGGTGGCTGTGGAGAGAGATGTCTGGACCTTCCTGATCAAGCTGCTGCCCCCATGACCCGACTTCGGAATAAGTGGAAAATGATGGATGGATGGATGGATGGATGTCCAGAGGACCCGACTTAGACTCTGCAACTATCACTTTTACATCACTAAAATTTGCTGAGATGCAGTCATTTTTGTTTCTGATAAGTTCACTTATGCGTGGTGGCCATCTTGAATAAGGTTCACTCCAAAAGTTAATTGTGACTTTGAGTGATCAGTGAAACTACAATTTGTCTGCTACCACATTTATCTTGTTCTAAAACATAAAGTTTTACCCATTTCCACTGTTGTTTTTATTCCCTAATGGCGATAAACAACTTATCACAGTTCAATTAAAGTATTTTTTTTAACTTCAGAGCATTTTTGTGCCTCAATGAGATGAAGAGGCAGATGAGTTTAGTTTAAATTTAGCCCGACAATGATTCAGTATTTCAGGGCTTTGTGCTGGTTCAGTCACTGGTTCCATGATGAGAGGCTGCAAGCAGTGCACTGGATGCGAAGAGAAAAAATCCTTGTATTTTGCACAGTTCTATTTTGACAAGCAGGCTAATTTCTGCCCTGGGTCATCAATATTTCTGACACTTCAGTGGCGGCATAAATATAGAATGAATGTCCCTTTGTTGTGCTGTGAGGAGCCTTGTGTCTCCGAGCATCAACAAGAATCACTTGGAAGCGTTTGTTAGCTTTTTCGCTCAGCTGATGAGACTGTCACAAGTCCCTCCAGAGTCTGCCTGTTCTCAACCCCATGCATCATAAACAATAGCCAATTTGGACGATTGAAGTGTGAAAAAACAAAAACCGGCTGTGTGAGGGATGAGTACACACACTTGTCTGAGGTAAAAGTGCTCAGTTTTAAATGGACTTTCTTAATCTATTCATCTGTTTTCTTTACCCGTTTGTTCCTGAATTAAATCATGAGAAGCTAACTCCAAGAGTCAATGGGAAAGAAGTTTGTTACACTCTGAACAGGTTAACGGTTCACACCAGGTCCAACACTGAGGCGGTACAGTCTAGTGATTTTTTAAAGTTATGTTTTGTCATAATTTTCAATAGTGAAAGAATTGTATAAAAGATACGGCAGAAGTATTTTTTTCTAGGCTAATGGCTATTGGAACTTTAATTTTCCTTATCATGATTTCACTTTTCTCAAAAATGTCATGAAATTGTGAAAAGATAGTACGTTAGCTTTTATTATACTTCTACGCTCTTGCGCGATACATTTTAGTTTATTGGTGAACAATGCAAAACAAAACACTAAAAAATACTACTAAAATACTAAAAAAACAAGGTGCCAAAGTTGAAAAAGAAATACATCTACAGTTTGATTCAGTTGGCAGTGAGATTCTTTCAACATCATGGTTCTGTTAGCGTTGTGGTCTTGTTAGCAGCTTAGCAGGTCTTGTTAGCAGGTCCAGTCAGCAGCTTGATGATAATAAAGACCGCAGCAGCTGCCCCAACAGATTGCAGTCCAGAACTGGGTCTGGCAGATGGAGAGCATCCAATGTTTCCCCACATGACCAAATGGGTCTGTAGAGTTAGGTCCGTGCAGGTAGCTGGAGGATCTAGCAGTGTTAGCAGTGTTAGCAACGTAAGCAGCGTTAGCAGCATTAGCAGCATTAGCAGGCCCTGCTTAATGATAATAACAAACGCAGCAGCTGCCCTCCTCAGACTGCCTTCCAGAACCGGGTCCAGCAGACAGACAACATCCAAGGTTTTCCCTGCAAAGCCTAACAGGTTTGTAGAGTTCAGTCCATTCAGACAGATGGAGAATCATGGAGACGGCCACCATGACATCCCTGAGCCCAAGGTTGGAGGGGGGCTGGGAACTGAACCACAATGGCACGATAACATGATGGCAAGGCAGTAGCACACAAAACTCCACAAGTGTATTTGAGTATTTGAAAGTGGCCCCAGTTTGGAATGAGCTTTGGCTTGAAGTAGTCTTCTGGCTTTTACTTCATATTTCATATCTGAGACAAGTGTTGTAAAAGTGTTGCAAACTACTCAGTAAAGAAAGTAGCTATTGGCTGTCCTAGAAGTTGCTAAATGTCGTCACTACATAATTTGTAGAAATGTTTGTGTTCATGTAAGTGTAATGAATGCTAAGTCAGGTCCTCTGGACACTTTCTTTTTTTGTTGAAATGATTCATCCTTCATCTAAAGGATTTCATCAGTCCGAGGAGCCACAACAATAAGTCCAACAAGTG